CGCACGCGCGGTTATTTTCAAAATGCAACGGACTTCAGGAGGGAAAAAAAGAGCGCAAAACGGTGGATTGTACCATCTGCACAGAGGGAGCGGGGGTGGGCCCTCAGCCTGAATAAGTTTATTTTGCATTTATACAAAGTATATTTATCTAAATAAGTTCATATTAACTTATAACTATTAAAATCAAGTCACATCTACGTGATCATTAATAAATAGAAGGTCGTTTCTGTCCTTATAAGGCACGGATTTATGCTACGTACCCTTGGTATCACATGATGTATCACCTGGTCATCTTGGGTTCAAGGCAAAAGAGGCAATAGCGGTACACGGCAGCGAGCTAATGTAGGCTAAAAACAGGTCGAATCAAAACATTGTTTTTTCAAACAGTGGGCCTCAAAATGAAATCTTAGAAATGTTTGCAAGTCTTTAATAAGGCATAATCAAATGTATGAATGTTGTCAAAATGTAAGTCATTCTTTTTTAAATGAGTGTGCATTGGGACCAACATCAGAAATATGCAGCATGTCATATTTAAAAGAAAAAAATGAGGACTTTCCTTGGAAATGATGACATAAACAATGCAGTGTCTGTGAAATGGATTCATCTAAATGGTAATAAATATATACGGGAGAAGACATTTGTGACTGCTGTTAATGCCAGTGATTTACCTGAATTTGGACTTGTGAGCAATATCTATGTAATTAACTCATCATTATATTGTTTTGAGTTCCAGCAGCATAATACTGTTTGTTATGATAGAAATTACATGGCATATACAATAGAGATTCCAAACGGCACAAGCAAATGAAATAATAACGGCTGATAGTCTGGTAGATTTCACTCCATATTACAGTTATACTCACAAGGATGTGACATATGTTCCTACGAAATATTATCTGGGAGATGTGCTTAGGCTACACAGAGCCTCATCTGATGAACTGTAAAAGGCACACTGTTTAATGTGTTGGCCTCTCATAGACAAACTGTTTCCTGACTGTTGTTTGTTTCATGATTGTTTCTATCTTTTCATGTATCAAAATAACTTTAATCTGAATGATAAAACAGCAGATCAGCAATCAGTTAGTTAATAGCAGTCTTTATGCTGATGCTTGCAGGATCATACTGTATAAACCATACTCATTGCTACATTGTGATTGAGAATGCAGTTGAGTCAAGGGTCATTTCATTTTGGTCATTTTTGGTCATTTTGTTTTGTTTATGGGCCATGCCGTTTTTGTCCAGCATGGTTATTTGCCAGCCTGCTGTCATCTTAATATGTTAGATATAAAGCAGCAGGTTCTGCCAGCTTCAGATGGCCTGAGAACACATAACAAATGAAAATAAACAACCTTTCATTTTCTTAAGTTTCTTGGCACTCTTAAATTGAGAAGTTGTACAAGTGGTCTTACACTTAAAATGAGGCAAATAATCTTGTTGCTCTACTGGGTTTTATTGTAAAACATTTTTATACCCTGTTACTGGTTCATTCTAGCTCAAAAGTAGCTGGAATATCTTATTAAGAAAAAGTAAGCTGTACTTTCTTAAAATTAGATTATTTTTCCAATGCAAAACATGCTTGACAAGATTAATTTTCTTTTTGGACAAAAAATAAGACTTATTTCCTTGATACAAGGCTTTTTTACTTTCTTAAAATTCCTTTTTTGCAGCTGTATTCACCTGGGGGATGTCATAGTCTGTTTCTAAATTTCTTCTCCTTCTTTCTTCTTTTCGCAAAATTTAAGCTGCTGAAAATGTTAGAAGCAAAAAATATTTCACTACAATGAAATAAAAGAAACAACTAAAGGAGGTAAGATGTAATTGACTGAGTGAAATAGCAGTTCATTTAGCAGTGGTTGCTGGAATGGCTAACACTTCTTTTTGTCTGTGTTTGTGTTTCTCTCTCTCTTTGTGTGTGTGTGTGTGTGTGTGTGTGTGTGCAGAGAAGAGAAGAGGTAAAAGTGAGCTGGCTGCCTTGTTCCTCTTGGTAATAACTCAGAACTTTGATCCACATTAGCTGATTTTAAAGCTGTTGGCTTTTTTTTACAGTATGCTTTATAAATATATATGTACTTACTTCCATACTAGGTTAGTACCAGGCTTCTGAAAAACCGATCCTAAGTCATTTGTTGTTCTATGATACCCCATTAATATAAACTAATATTGTGGTATATGCAATGATCTTACACTTGTTTGCATTCATTCTTTTTTTTCAGTGGCAAAACTTGAGAAGATACCTGGGAGCCTGCCAGCAACTTTATAGGCTCCATTTAATGTTTTTGTTTGTGTGTCTTGGTGAATGTTGTTCTCTCTCTCTCTCTCTCTCTCTCTCTCTCTGTCTCTCTCTCTGTCTCTCTCTCTCTCTCTCTGCATGAGTAAAAATAAAGATTTGTTCATTTGTTTTATTTCAGTTCAGTTTCAGTTTGCCTTTTTCATTACATTTTGAATGTTTCTTTCACACACTCATCCACATCTCCTTTAGTTTTTAATATGCAAGTCATATATACAGAGTCCAAATGTTCAGAAGTCTTCATGTTCATAATCTGAGCTCACGTTTATTTCTCCCTATAGAGTCAACAGAATCAGGATGCTACAGGGCTCCTAAAGGGGAGTGGCAGTGACGTGAAATATTCATATTTCATATTTAATTATATTTAACAGCACTGGCAGTGGCTAAAGTAAACCAATGTGACACACAGACAGGAAATTACTAAAACCGCTCTGTCGTCCAATGGTTTGTATATTTGAATGTTTTTTCAATAATGATTTTAAGAAGAAATCTACAACAAACGCAGAGGAATAAAAATGAAACGCATTCATGATTGTGCTTATAAAATCCTGTGATTTGATGAATAAAATATGCATTGATCTATACAGAATATTAGATTATTGGTTGTTTGGGTTATATAAAACTCTCCGTTTACAGTTTCTAGCTGGTAGAATTGATCTGTTGTCTGTGGACAAGTAAAATATTAGCAGAGGTTCTGTTATAAGTATATAATAGATAATAAACATCAAACGTTTCTCTTCTGGCTTTATTTTGAAAGTGTAACTGTACGTTGCATATTTATTTTGTTAATTCAGTCAGTGGGTAAACTTTAATTTATCTATATGTATTTTCAGAAAGATAATGAAATCACACAGTGTTGTTTTGCATTGCTGAGGAAGCAGAGGTGCAGGAAAAAAAGAGCAGAAGGAAATGAATGTGCTATATTGTCTTCTGCAGGAGCAAATAAATGCTGGTTAACAGTTCTGTGAGTCGTCCTCTGTTTATGCCCAATCCACACACCTGTTACACATATAAAATAAAAAGTTTCTGAATGACATCACATTGTAGGAGCGAATTATAAAGTCACATATACAGTATGTATGTATAGAAGTTATTGTTTACTTTTACATAGTAATTATCCAAATATTTGAGAGGTCTTATGGCTTTCTTGTTTGTTAATCAAAGTCAAAGAGAAATTATAATTCAACAAAATACAGATGAACATTGGGTTTGAAGCGTTCCAGCCTTATGGATATGATATTTGCCAACAAGACACATAAGTTTCATAGCAGCGTTAATGGATTGTGAGTTAATATTACAATTTACAAAGAAGACCGTGTCACTTCTGTGCAGTTCCATAAAGTCACCAGCAGGTGTCAGCCTATGAGCAGTGTATGGGAGGAGCCAGATTATTTTGGCACCTTCTTCTAAATGTTTCAAAGTAGAAAGTTCATTCAAACGTTCAAAGTTCATTCAGCTTTTTTCATATTTCTTATATTGTGTACACAATTGCAGTTCAAAACTCAAGAAACTTTCATCCCCTTGCTCTCTTGAACATAAAAACATAGGAACAATGTGTGCCGGTATCAGAGTTAAAAATGTACTTTATTAAATCTTACTTTTAACATGTATTTGTGAATTTTATTCATTTTCATTGAGTCTGAATTTTATCTAATTGAGTTGAGTGTTCAAATGTTAACACAAAAGCTGATTTTTAAGCATATCGGTGAAAGGGGCCCCGGGTTGTACAGTTAAAAGAACATGAGACTGCACGTGAGTACTGATATATAAAACTATATTAGACAACCATGAGCATAAAACCTGAGTAGATCAAAGTTTGTACATTTGTTCCACGATGACCAAAGATGATGAATTTAGTTTGTTCAGATCAAAGCCACTCTTTACACCTTGGAACTATTTTTACACAGATGCTGAATTTGATCCTGAAAGACTCTTGTTTGACATTTGAACACATTTTTTGTTCACAGAAAGTTTTTACCACCAAAGTTCAGTTTTAGACTCAGAGTTGAATATTTGTTCATATTTTAACATTTGAGTCATAAAAACACTTTCCCTGTTATCGTGGGTTCAAAAAGATTTGAAAAACAAGCAGCCACATTTGATTTGAGCCAATGTTTCTCAGAGTTATAGAAGAAGATCAATTCTTCCACCCACCTAGAGCCGGGGTCTGTCCAAGGTTTGTGCCTCTGAAAAGGAAGTTTTCAAAGAATGATGTTTTAATGTTTTATGTTTTTATGTGTTTAAATATGTGTAGTCATTGGTGTGTTTTTCTTTCTATCTGTATGTCTCACCCTGTGTTACTGTTGTTGCTACTGTGGCAAAATCAATTGCCCCACAGAAACAAATAAAGGACTTATACAGGCACTCACTGAGTTAACATGAACTATGTGGTTTAGCAATAATGGCCGTCTAACAGGAAGACACATGATGAATGTTCCTCTATCTGAGGGGGAAGAGAAAGAGGAACAACATAGTCAACAGACGTGGTACAGAGAGACTTTGTTATTTCTCACAAACAGTTTAGTTTTTTGTTTTGGCCACAGAAAAATATTTTTTAAAGGCGGATAACAACATTTTATTACATTTTCCTTTTGGTGTACGAGGAATACAGCATCCTCCAGGTGAGTTAAGTAGTCCTCTCCAGGGCCTCTGTCTGCTGTATGTTGGCGGGCATCAGAAATGTTTGATATCTGTATATGTTCATTGTACAGAGGTCATATATGATGGGAACTGCCTTTCTGTATGTGTGATATCCTTTAAACTGGAGAGTGTCAGAGGTTAGAAGAGATCATAGAGAGTGGGATCAACACGTGAGTCAAAACCAAGCTGGAGGCCTTCTCCTCTGGGGTTGAAAACAGAGATTTACCCCACGACACGGCAGGTTTAAAGCTCCCTGTGGTGGAGGGTCGGGCCTCTGACTCCAGTATGGGGACTGACCCTCAACCAGTAACCAGAGGCCTCAGGGACCAGTCCGTCCTCCTGTAGACTTGGATTAGAGGAACACAGGATGGAGTCAGGACACCCTGGGGGGAGTAAGGAACTACAGGTGTTACACTATATTATATTCTATCATTAGATTATTATTACTGCTGTATTTGGCTGTTGTAGCTGCTCACGTGGAGCTGATTTCAACTATTTAGGAAGGACTGTGACTAATTATTATTGTCATTAATCTAAATTGTACAACTTGAGAATATATTGAGAAATGCCCGTTACAATCCTCCAGAGCCCACAGTGACACAATGTTGTCTGACCAACAGTTCAAAGCTGAAAATAGTAAAAGTAGTAATACTACACTACAGAAATACTGCATTACAACTTAAAGTGCTGCATTAAAAAAGTTCCTCAGTTACAGAAGTATTATCAGCACATTGTAGTTGAAGCTCCCAGTCTCTCTCTGCAGACACTCACTCAGTCTTATCTCACACAACCGTGACGTCACAGCCACTTCCTGTCCACAGGTTACTTTCACTTTGTGAACTCGTCGTGTCGCAGCTTCTTCTTCTGTCCATGTGAAGGTTGGTAAGAGACACTTTTCACTGTTTGACTCCTCAATGACTCTTTGTTCATCTTGTTAGTTTAGTTCAGTAGAAAGAGCAGAAAACTCTACTAACAGTCAACTGAGAACCAACATGGAGGAAGAGTGTCCTCCATCTTACTGTCAGTGTGTCACTGTTCAAAGTAATCAGAGTACTCACTGACAGTACTCAGAGTACTCACTGTATGATTTCTGTCTGTCTTTATGAGCTCACCTTATCAATGTAGTTGAAGTATGTAAAGTGAAAGTAGTCAGTGTACAGAATGGCCTCTGTCAGTGTTGTATTATTAAATTAGTGGATGATTATTATTGATGCATTAACATGTAATCAGTACTTTAATGTTGGAGTTGCTGCAGGTGGAGCCAATATAAACTACTTCAAATACTTTTGGCTGCTTGAATGTAAAATAATGAATTCTATTTTATAAACTGATCCCATGTTTGAAAAGTAAGCAGGAAGTAAAGCTGTCAGATAAATGCAGCTCCATGAGGCCATCTAGTGGACTGATAGTAGAAGTAGAGCAGCTGATGGCAGCTTTCTGCTCTCATTCTTCCTCAACACTGACCAATGAGAACAAGCAGCATCTCCTCTGGCCAATAACAAACCACTATTGATCCATGTATTGATTAGTTTGCAATGTGTGACAGTGATGAGAAAAGGCCATCAGTAGTTCCCAGAGTTCACAGTCATGTTTTCTAACTGCTTCTTTAGTCTGAGCAACAGTCCAACAAGCCAAAGGGATTCAACTGACACTGAGATGAAACAGAGAGAAGCAGCCAATCAGTGGAGAAGCAGCTGATAGTTTTACAGGAGAAATGATGTAAATCAGTGGTTCCCAACCTGAGGGTCGGGACCCCCGCTAGTGGTCACCAAAGCTTCATGGGGGGTCTGTAGGTTGGCCTATATCTCAGCATCTGGTTCACTTCTGTGAAGAAAAGTCAATGTAAAGTAAACTGTCTAATAGATCAATGACCAAACATCAGGGACAAGAAAACAGTGAATTTGTCCAAAAAGAAGCATATTAAGTATTTATGATTGTTAAAATGATAAAAGATACATAACACAGACAAACTGTATAAAAAGTTCCCTAAACAGGAAATAATCTGCTCAGAATTCATCAGAATCAACTTCAACTTCTTGCAGTTACTGAGTTCAATATTTGGGTTGATTGTACAGTTTTGGATATAATATGAAATATGTATAAAATATGTCACTCAGTCGGGGGTCGTCAGTTTACTCAGTGATAGAAAAAGGTTGGGAACCACTGATGTAAAGGATGAATGAGTGATGATGAGTTCTCAGTGCTGATCAGTGATTGGACTGATGCTTTCAGCTCTGCTCTCAGTGTTTCCTCTACAGATGAAGGTAGAAAGTCTCTGGGAGCTGATGTGGATGTGAATTCAGCAGCAGCTGCCAAGGTAACAGGATTGATTTTGGATTATTGGACTAGCTGCCACTGCATGCTCTGACTGGATATAGTAGACTTGGAAAAAGAGCAACATTTCAACTGTTGAGGAGCTTTTCAAAGTCAGTCAAATAGAAGTGAAACAGCAACATGAAGTGTATTCCTCTAGTCTTCAACCAACCCCACAGACTAAAGAGCAATGTGAATGTCATTTCTTAGATACTGCAGCTCAAAGTGCCAACAACATTTCTACTCTGCATGGAAACTGTCAGATGAGTGGATTCAGTAATGAGCTGAATGAGCCGTTTATATCAGCCAGTAGAGTCCTATTGTCCTATTGTGTGTTAGAAATATACAGTCTGCATCTCCAGCACTTACACACTGACAGATGCTAACTTGCATATGTTGGTCAATTAGCATAATTAGCATTAATAATCAGCTACATCGACAATATTTCAGTAATTGTTTGGCTGATTCGAACGATATAGGAGTGTTTTTTGGGGGTTATTGAGGATGATGAATCAATTTCTGACATCTGTGACAACATTTCATCTCCCAGTGAGCTGATTTTTGAGGATTTCTTCGTCAATTTTGAGATTATTTATTTGCTTAATGAATAACCACAGCTGCAGAGACACAGGTCAATGAGAAAATGCTGCACAGCAAAAGAACACCAGCAGAAATATGAATAAATATCTGAACACCAATGACAAAGAGCTTCCTAAACTGCAGTTCCAATGTATTATGCATATAAATAACCTCAATATTAGTGAACCTGGAGTTCAAATAAAATAAATTAAAGTGCAATTTTGTATTTTTTAAATGTCAGAATTTGATCCATCATCCTCAGCAACTCCCAAAACCACTACTATAGTATCTGTTGAAATATTCTCCATACAGATATACATACATGCTTATTAATGCTAATAATGATAATTGAGTTGGAATCTGTCCGTTTCTAAATGCTGGGGACCCACACTGTACATTTCTGACATAAAACTTTGGGACTCATTTCCGAGTTCATGTTGCTGCGAGTCGACTAATCCCTCCAATCAGAGCTGTGTGTGTTTGTCATGTGACTGAGAGGAATAATGGGAAATAATGTGTGATCTCTCCCAGCAGGTTGCTGTGTCTGTGTGAAGGTGTGGGCTCTGCTATGGATCAGTGTGAGGACAGAGAGGAGGGAGTCCCTCCCTCTAAAAGCACTCTGTGTGGGGAACATGACACAAGGACCAAAGCTCAGAGGTGAGATGAGGATCTCTAACTGTCCATGACTCTTCTCCATGTCACAAAGACTCTGATTCTCCATTTGAAACAAAGACATTTATCTGAGCTAAAGTACGTAGTTGTCAGTATTCAAACAGGGCTGGACAATCTGATCTCAAATCAGTATCAGGAGAAACATTCAGCTTCATAATGAGAAATGTAACAGTAACGTGTTTGAATCAATCGGAGCAGATTTCCTTCCTCATGTTGCTCACTGCTGATGTTTGTCCTGATTCATTCCAGTCTGACCAGTTCCACATTCTGCTCTTCTGGACTGGGAACTGATTGCTCTCTGGTTAGATGTTGTAGCTGCTCTCACTTTAATTATATGGAATTCAGACAGTGTGTTGAGGTGTGTGACATCAGTAAATTGTGTTCAGTAACACGTCCATAATGTCAGTAATTGAAGACATTGTTCTTATTGTCCAGCTCTGTATTCAAACATTTCAAATTATACATCATTTCCCAAAGTCTTTGATTCAGTGAGAATGTTTCTGAATATGTGAGCTTTAATGAATTTCTTTCTATCAGGATCCATCAGAGACCAGACTGTCCTGAACCTGAACCCAGCTGTGTGTCCATGAAGAGTGATCACTCTAAGGATGATCCTGTAAACTTCAAAGATGGCGGCCACTCTGTTGATCAAAGGTGAGGATTTCAAAACTGATGGTGAAAATAAAATGATGTGTTTTTATCAAACTCTCTGTTGTGAAATCTCTATTTTTAAATGTTTTAAATGTCTTTTAATGGACGGTGATGGTTTGTGTGTGATCAGCTCAATTTACAACAGCCTCAGTTTCACAGTGAACAAATAGTTGCAGCAGTTTATAGAAACTCACTGCTTTGACACCACGTCTGTTCCTCTTTTTATCCTAATTGGACCGATATGGTCACTCCACTCCATCATTTCCCCGCCTATACTGCACACTGCACTGAATACAGCTTTAAAATACACAGTGAAACATGTCTAAATCAAAGAGTGACTGGTCTATGGAAAATCGTATATTCTTCAAAGATGGGCTCCACTCTGTTGATCAAAGGTGAGGATTTCAAACTGATGGTAAAATAAAATGATGTGTTTTTATCAGACTCTCAGTTGTGAAATCTCCAGTTTTTCAACCTTTACTGACTCAGATGAAGTTCTCTGAGCACCAACACTCTTTCAGCAGCAGCTGCCTCACACTCACACAATCAAACACATTCACACTGGGAGCTGCCCAGTACAACCAGTCTGATACAAGCAGACACTGAGCAGCTCCACTGGAGCAGCTGGAGGCTCTAGGTGCCTTGCTCCAGGGCACTTCAGCAGTGTACAGTGAGGGAGGGAGAGCTATATGGAGGGGTTGGTGAGAGCTGTTGGGACTGAACCAAACTGAGCTGTTGATTCTCAGTGGGATCAGCAGGACTAGTAAACCTTTACCACTACAGGGAGTCATCAGATTCACTGTTCACATCCAAATATCACTTCATGGACCTTTACCTTGTGTTTTTCTCTGTGTGGACAGACATAATGTGAGCTCATTCTTCATGATTCCTCCACAGAGTGGACCAGGAGAGCTCAGAGGTTCCCAGTGGTCAGTCTGCCCAGCAGCATCAAACACACCTGGACTCCATATTTATGGTCTGTACATGGACAACAACTACTTTTACATCTATTGTGTTCACAATAATCTCCATGCTGCACTTTTTAGACCAGTGGATTGTCAGTCTGTCCAACATGGATCTGATGTTTGCTTCCATGATTTGACTTTGATTGAGTCATTCATATAATATTCTGTTCCAGCTGCTGGAGGACAACATTGTCACTTTTGTGAAGAACGAGCTGAAGAAGATCCAGAAGGTTCTGAGTTCAGATTACCCAGAATGCTCAGAGAGTCAGAGGGAGGATGAGGAGGTGTTGGATGGTGAGGATGAAGAGCAGAGGAGGAGCAGCAGAGAGGCATTTCTGAAGATCACAGTGCACTTCCTGAGGAGAATGAAGCAGGAGGAGCTGGCTGACTGTCTACAGAGCAGTAAGAGGATTTTAACAGATTGAACATGTTGGAAAGAGGAAATGGAGGCAACATGGGAGAAGTTTACTTTTAAAACTCTGCTGATAATATGATGCACACATTGTATCAGATCTATGAATTCTTCTGGACTGAAAACAGAAACTGTTCACAACTGATGAGCTGAAGAGATTTAATGGGGGGAGGAAAATAAATACCATCTTGATGTCTTAAAGTTCACATCCATCAGATTTATTGGAGCTTCTACTTATTAACTACATTTCTTCTTTGTTCATTCAGTAACTGTTGCTGCAGCGTGCCGACGTGAACTTAAATCTAACCTGAAGAAGAAGTTCCAGTGTGTGTTTGAGGGGATTGCTAAAGCAGGAAACCCAACCCTTCTGAACCAGATCTACACAGAGCTCTACATCACAGAGGGAGGGACTGCAGAGGTCAATGATGAACATGAGGTCAGACAGATTGAAACAGCATCCAGGAAACCAGACAGATCAGAAACAACAATCAGACAAGAAGACATCTTTAAAGCCTCACCTGGAAGAGATGAACCAATCAGAACAGTGATGACAAAGGGAGTGGCTGGCATTGGGAAAACAGTCTTAACACAGAAGTTCATTCTGGACTGGGCTGAAGACGAAGCCAACCAGGACATACAGTTCACATTTCCATTCACTTTCAGAGAGCTGAATGTGCTGAAAGAGAAAAAGTACAGCTTGGTGGAACTTGTTCATCACTTCTTTACTGAAACTAAAGAAGCAGGAATCTGCAGGTTTGAAGAGTTCCAGGTTGTGTTCATCTTTGACGGTCTGGATGAGTGTCGACTTCCTCTGGACTTCCACAACACTGAGATCCTGACTGATGTTACAGAGTCCACCTCAGTGGGTGTGCTGCTGACAAACCTCATCAGGGGGAAACTGCTTCCCTCTGCTCGCCTCTGGATAACCTCACGACCTGCAGCAGCCAATCAGATCCCTCCTGAGTGTGTTGACATGGTGACAGAGGTCAGAGGGTTCACTGACCCACAGAAGGAGGACTACTTCAGGAAGAGGTTCAGAGATCAGGAGCAGCCCAGTAGAATCATCTCCCACATCAAAACATCACGAAGCGTCCACATCATGTGCCACATCCCAGTCTTCTGCTGGATCACTGCTACAGTTCTGGAGGATGTGTTGAAGACCAGAGAGGGAGGAGAGCTGCCCAAGACCCTGACTGAGATGTTCATCCACTTCTTGGTGGTTCAGTCCAAAGTGAAGACCATCAAGTATGATGGAGAAGCTGAGACAGATCCACACTGGAATAAAAACAGCAAGGAGATGATTGAGTCTCTGGGAAAACTGGCTTTTGAGCAGCTGCAGAAAGGCAACCTGATTTTCTATGAATCAGACCTGACAGAGTGTGGCATTGATATCAGAGCAGCCTCAGTGTACTCAGGAGTGTTCACACAGATCTTTAAAGAGGAGAGAGGACTGTACCAGGATGTGGTTTTCTGCTTCGTCCATCTGAGTGTTCAGGAGTTTCTGGCTGCTCTTCATGTCCATCTGACATTCATCAACTCTGGAGTCAATCTGCTGGCAGAACAACAAACAACATCCTGGTGGTTTAAATTAATTAAAGACAAAGAGAATCTAAAACATCTCCACCAGACTGCTGTGGACAAGGCCTTAGAGAGTCAACAAGGACATCTGGACTTGTTCCTCCGCTTCCTCCTGGGTCTTTCACTGGAGACCAATCAGAATCTCCTGAGACAGACAGGAAGTAGCTCACAGACCAATCAGGAAACAGTTGAATACATCAAGAAGAAGATCAGTGAGAATCCTTCTGCAGAGAGAAGCATCAATCTGTTCCACTGTCTGAATGAACTGAATGATCGTTCTCTAGTGGATCAGATCCAACAGTCCCTGAGTTCAGGACGTCTCTCCACAGATGAACTGTCTCCTGCTCAGTGGTCAGCTCTGGTCTTCATCTTACTGTCATCAGAAAAAGATCTGGACGTGTTTGACCTGAAGAAATACTCTGCTTCAGAGGAGGCTCTTCTGAGGCTGCTGCCAGTGGTCAAAGCCTCCAACAAAGCTCTGTAAGTACAGAAATTTCTGTATTATCACTTAAATACTCTGCTATCTTTTCGACTTAGAGAGATTATAAAAACATTATATATCACCAACATTGGGAACTCCTCACTAGCTGATATCATTTTTACAGAACTAATTTAAAGTGTTTTTGGTTTTGGCTGAGTGATAAAGTGCTGGTCACAAATGTTATTTTTCTTATTGTTGATCATTGTCTCTACAGACTGAGTGACTGTAACCTCTCAGAGAGAAGCTGTGAAGCTCTGTCCTCAGTTCTCAGCTCCCAGTCCTCTAGTCTGAGAGAGCTGGACCTGAGTATGAACGACCTGCAGGATTCAGGACTGAAGCTGCTTTCTGTTGGACTGAAGAGTCCACACTGTAAACTGGAAACTCTCAGGTCAGAATTCGTCAACCTGTTCAACTGATAACCACTTTAAACCTGAATTATGTTGATGGATACAATTGTAATCTTCCTAACATTGTCTCAAATCATTGTTTTGTTTATTTAGTTTGAGTCTCTTTCCTTGAACATGTTTATTATGTAATGTGTTGTTTTGTGTGTTTGCAGGCTGTCACACTGTCTGATCACAGAGGAAGGTTGTGCTTCTCTGGTCTCAGCTCTGAGCTCCAACCCCTCCCATCTGAGAGAGCTGGACCTGAGCTACAATCATCCAGGAGACTCAGCGACAAAGCTGTCTGCTGCACTGGAGGATCCACACTGGAGACTGGACATTCTCAGGTATGTGGCGGATCAATACAGTAGTAGTAGTCAGGTGACAGAGGAAAGGTGATGAACTGTTTCTCTGGACCGATGTCTTGTTTCGACATTGGAAAATAGGACAGTGGTTTATCCTGATGGGTTGGTGAGCATCATGGCGGGTTGATATTTGTCAATGTTGTCACGCTGCAGGTTTGTGCGCTCATATCATAAATAGTCAAGAAAATGATCCTGAACCTTTCAGTCTGGATCTGAATTTAGCTGTCCTTGAAGATGACTCAAAAGTGCATCATCAATAAGTGAAAATAATGAGCTGTAGCCATCGGCCAATAAGAAGAAGCTCCACTGAACTGAAAGACTATCAGCTGATTAATAATAAGTGCTCCATGTGAAGATGTAAGTCCATTTGTAGAGAATAACCTCTGTGTATGAGAGCGATGTAATGTCCATGTTTCCATGCTGATCTGACCCCCTCCTCCTTTCAGGGTGGAGCCTGCTGGAGTCCGATGGTTGAGACCAGGTGTGAGGAAGTGTAAGTGTGAAAACAAAGCAGCACACATTCAACCATCTTCACACTGTGACATCACTCATTCACAGCTCTGATGTCATCATCAAAGTGTCAATCAATGATCAGATGATAGATCAATAACTGCAGCTGTATTGTGTCTTGTTCTCGCCATCAGATTCCTGTGAACTCACAGTCGACACAAACACAGTGAACAGAAACATCAAACTGTCTGACAACAACAGGAAGATGATTCATGTGGAGGAGGTTCAGTCATATCCTGATCATCCAGACAGATTTAACTACTGGGATCAGCTGCTGTGTAGAAATGGTCTGACTGGTCGCTGTTACTGGGAGGTCGAGTGGCGAGGAGGAGTTTCTATATCAGTGAGTTACAGAGGAATCAGCAGGAGAGGAAACAGTAGAGACTGTTGGTTTGGATGGAATGATCAGTCCTGGAGTCTGTGCTGCTCTGATGATGGTCGTTACTCTGTCTGGCACAATAAGAGAAGAACACCCATCTCCTCCTCCTCCTCCTCCTCCTCCTCCTCCTCCTCTGGTAGAGTAGCAGTGTATGTGGACTGTCCTGCTGGCACTCTGTCCTTCTACACAGTCTCCTCTGACACACTGATCCACCTCCACACCTTCAACACCACATTCACTGAACCTCTTTATCCTGGGTTCGGGTTCGGGTCTGGTTCCTCAGTGTCTCTGTGTCCTCTGTAGGAGGGAGAGACAAACTTTCTCACTGCTGACCAGATAGTTCAGTCTGTACAGGATCACACACAGCTGATGTTAGTTAGTACCAACCTGATGTGTTTACTGTAATAGAGGAGGAAGAGGAGGCTGAAGGAAGAGAAGAGCAAAGGATGCTGGGATGAAGGGATCATGTGTGAGGGTAATGTGCAGCCTGCAGACGTAGAGATGAAAGAAATGATAGAAAGAATTGATCTTCTATAACTCTGAGAAAAATGAACATTTTTAGGATCAAATGTGGCTGCTTGTTTTTCAAATCTTCTTCTTTTTGAAAGCACAGTTAGAGGGAAAGTGTTTTTATGACTCAAATATTAAAGTGTGAACAAATATTCAACTTTGAGTCTAAAACTGAACTTTGTTGCCTTAAAACTTTTGTTTCTGTGAAGAAAAAATGCTAACGTTATCTTTCAACCATAATGTGTGCTACCAAACAAAGACACATACTCTCCACTAGAGCCGCTGACTGCTAGCTCAACGTCCCAAACAGAGAAGATCACAACAATAGCATGTCTTCATAAACCACCCTTGTTCGTCTTCATACAATATGTTGGGAAGTTGCAGTAAATATCAATACAATATGTTCTATATCCCTTTGTGTTGTGTCTCTCCTTCGTCTGTTAAGATAACTGAACATGTTGTGAGTCTCGAGGCATTGTCAGCCTTTATATCTAATTTGTAAATGCTTAATAAGCCATAGATAGTGCTCACTTTAGATCAGCTCGTGCAAAATACTTAATTAAGGAGTAGTAAGTGCTTTGTAACTGTGAATTCCTGCATTAATCACTGTTTATAGGCCATCATTAGAAAATGAATTTGTTGTGAGTTTTTATAGAACATCTGCTAACACAGTCACTAATCATTAATACATGTCTGAATAGTGGATGTGCAAGTGCATGCAGAAATGTACAGTACAATGAAGAGTAAAACATTTATAACTGTGATTATAAACCACATAGTAATGACTATTTACAGCAGAATCATGCTTTATAAATGATGGATTCAGTATTTACTAATCCATAACTAATGTGCTTATCAATGATGAATAAAACATGTTTAACTGTGTTTATAAACTACATACTAATGTGTATTCATGCGTTATAAATGATGATTTCAGTATTTATTCATGCTTAACTAATGCTTAATAGTGTGTACTCATTATAAAGTGTTACCCAGATTTATTCAAATATCATTCAATTGGTTCAATTCGTTAAAACATTAATGAGAAACAGGACTTTCTGACATTAATGGGTGTCAATCTGGTTAAACTTTAATAAAATGAATAAATCAACTTCAATCCAGAACTCTTGTGAGTCTGTTTAAGGAATAGATGAGAGATAGATTTGATTTCTGTTTTACAGAAAGAACATAATGGAGAAAATCAGAGTTAAAAATTCACTATTAATTCTTACTTTTAATATGTATGTAACGCCCATTAGTTACACACACAGTGCAATCCCCAGTTTTACAGTTTAACAATGTGTAGAGCGATACAGCCTAGTAGATTTCAGATGTAGTTGCTTAGTTTCACCAGCAGGGTGCGCATTCATCCCACACAAACACTGGCAGCGCCTTAAGTATGGAGTTAGATTTGTGTCTTTATTACATGCGAGAAAATAAATGATCTGAGAGAAAAAGTTATCACACTGAGAGCAAAAAATATTAATATTTGAGACTAAAAAAGTTTTGAGAGAAAGTATTTTCTCATAGAACATAAAAAAATATAAATGTTTAAAATTATTTCTGAGAAAAACAAATCTCTCTCAAAATGAATTAGCCATCATGCTAGGTAAACTTGCAAACTCATCGGTTTTCCATGCTGGGATTTAAAATAAAAACTAATTACCATGACAGTACAGGCACACACATATTGGTGGGTTGCTAATGTAAGAGTTAGTCCTAGACCTGCAGTTTACCTTGTCAGCTCTAGACCTCGGCTACATGCTAAAGAATATTTAGAATAATAATAATGTGTAGCTGAGTTTGCAAGCTACACATGCAGTGTAGCTAAACGTGTAGTGCAACAACCATACAAAGACTATTTTACACAAAACTAGGTGGGACACTTTCAAACGGTCTATCAATCACTGTCTAACGTTAGCTAGCTATAGGGTTGCCACCTTCCATGCAGACTAGCTGAAAGTTGTCCAGGAGGTTGTATACGATGAACAAAGGTAGAAACTAGCTCACTACTCACTAAATAAGGTATTTTAAAAGGAAAGAGAAGACACAATCAGACTTGGATAATAATGCAGGAAAGTATTACACAGTTTGTAATAACAGGCTTATTCAGGTGTCCACCAGGTCAATTTCTAGAAGAGGCCTTACACACTTCCTTCACTTACACAGGACAAGTGCACAGGAGAACAAAATGATGTTGCATCCCTCTCACAAATGTGATAGAAAACTGCTAAAAAACGTAATAACATAAGTTAATTACGTACATCACAAGTTAAAAGCAGTTACTAGACATATAGTGTGTGTGTGTGTGTGTGTGTGTGTGTGTGTGTGTGTGTGTGTGTGTGTGTGTGTGTGTGTTGAGGGGGCGTTACAGTGAGTTAAGAAGTCTGATTGCAAGTTATCAAATTAAACCTTATTTTTTGGACCCGGGGCCTCCATTCCCTCTTTGTGTGGGGACAGCGCATCTGACGAGCAGCAGCAGCCCATAAAGCGACGGAGGGTGCTGGGACCAGGAGAACAACAGAGGCTGGCTACAGAGGTAAGTTGTGATGTCATTGTCAGCGTTTCCCCTAGAACTTTTTTCAGGCCTGGTAGTATGTAGCCAAAACCAAAAACCCTGAACAACCAGCACCTTAGTAATCATATACTTGACTTGGACATAGGCATGTGTTCAGTCAGGATCACTTGCATCAAAATAGCTTTATTGCAAATTAAAGCTGATGATGTATCTTTTACAGGTATGTGATACTATCCTGATTCATGCCAAGGAGAGGTTCTCCTTCACCCAGCACCTCATCAGCGCAACACTGTTGCACGGAAAGTTGTTCCCACAACACAGTGTGAAGTTCCCCGATGCAGCGCTTGAAACAACCGTGGAGGCGCACCCGATGTTGAACAAGGCCAAGCTCAAAACCGAACTGTCCCTCATCTATGAGAACAGTGAGTTCAAGGCTTGTAGTGGTGCAGTGCCTCTGTACCAGTTCTTCATGGAGAACAACCTTCAGAGCACTTTCACAGAGACTGTCAGCCTCCTCAAGATCCTCATCACCACACCCATGACAACAGCTGAGTCAGAAAGGTGCTTCTCTACACTGAAGAGGATCAAGACCTTCCTGAGAAACAGCATGACACAGGATCGCCTGAATGCTCTGGCTATGCTCTCCATGGAGAAGAAACTTGTCAGGGACATTCCTGACTTTAATAAAAGGGTCATTGAGAGGTTTGCCACTCAGAAGGACAGACGGGCAAAATTCCTGTACAAATAAGATGACACACACACACACACACACACACACACACACACACACACACACACCGCAGCACTGACCACATGTTTCTTTGTATATAGTTGACCTTAGCATAAAGAATCATCCAGTTATATATGGTACTCTAGAAAGTCTTAATAGTGTGTTTGCTAATATTACTGTATATGTGTTGTTTTGTATCAATGAATTGTTGCAGTTCTGGAGCACATTAACAATTAGTTACATTTAGTTTGATCATAAAATACTGTATGCTATTCTTCCAGTCAAAGGTTTGAGTTCAGCCACTTGATATCCATTTCTATATTATACATCCTTTATACAGTGTAAGATTTCCTATAAACTTTATAATAATTTCATGTTATTGTCCACTTTCCACAAAAGATGTTAAGTGTAGAAATAGTCAATTGTTTGTTTCTTGTGTTTGTGCAATATGATGTTTATGTTTTTGTGTAAGAATGCCCCAACTAATATTGGCATTAAATAATTACTGACTATTTCACTGAGCACTGGTGTCCTGCAGTTTGTGTTCAATTGTATTGCGATGGTTACGGAAACAAAAATGTATGGCACAGCCCCACCGAGAATATTTTTCACCAGCCGCCACTGGATTTTACCTGGTTAAATAAAGGTTGAATGAAACAATATAATACAAGGATTTCAATATTCATATAATGTATTATGTTGTGTCTATGTTAGGTAACCATATTCTAACATTTGCAATATTCTTGGTGTGTGTGTGTGTGTGTGTGTGTGTGTGTGTGTGTGTGTGTGTGTGTTTGTGCCCAACGTTGCTGCTCAGTCTGTGTGACTTTCAGTGAGGCAGATACCCTAATGAGCCGCACGACGGATTGTTTATTTCAAAATCGTCCCGACCATCGGCAATCGCCAGGCCAGGCCACCGGGAAATATCCCGGTGCTCCCGATGGCCAGTCCGCCACTGGCAGGGGTGGACTGGCCATCGGGAGCACCGGGCATCGTCCCGGTGGGCCGTTGACCCAATGTGGTCCGGTCCGCTATGTTTTTGTTTTTTCTCTCTCTCTAAATTCCCTCCAGTTGGCTACAGAGGGCTAGCAGTGTGTTGCCAGCATCGACACATATTATTGGTCTATGTCTGTCATTGTCAATCAATCAATGCTGTCAATCACAACACAAACCAGGGTGGGCGGGACCTCATGGCATGGGCCGGAGTGGCGGGACGGGCTGCTGCTGAGCTGAAGATGGATAACCGTAAGAAACACCCGGGTGGCGCTGAAACTTAACGTTAAAAAGCTGAAGTCTCTGGAGGTGGAAGCTGCTAAATGTTGGACATTGACAGACCTATTTGGTGCCGGGGTCACCACCCCAGCAGGTGCTGCTGCGCCGGGAGACGAGCGAGTGGAGGCAGACATGGTGAGTAACGTTAGCCTGGTTTTTCCATTGAATGTGATGGGACCTCATTAACTGCATACTTGTGACAACATATTAGCCCAGAGTTGAAGGGCTGTGACTGTTGGTAGTTGTGGTTGATTTGGTTTAAATATGCCGAATTGTGATATTATGGGTTATAATTGTTCTAAGCTGGCTAACAGTCTCTTGTTGCCGTAGCAACAGTAACCATTGACATGGACTGATGACTGTAAATAGAGATGCAGAATCAATATTGTAAATACAGATGAGATACTTTGAATTTGAGCACAAAATACAAGTAAACCTAGAGGAAATAATTAGTTTAATTTGCAATTTTTGCCATTGAATTTATTGTAATCTTTCAATTCATTTATTGTTTACTGAGGTGATAACTATTTCGTAGGTATAATTTGTGTGTAACTTTAATTTCTGTGTAAATGTGTTACTTTTACTGTAGTTTTCAAATGGCTGTGTATAGTGCTGTCTTGAGCATTGTAAAAAATGGCTGTGAAATCTACAGTTATTGACTGCAGTAAACACAGTAACATTACTGTGTATGATTTTTACAGTAGAATACTGTAAATTTTACAATAAAACCTTGTTGATGCATGTTCAAGATACTGTATTTTCTTTATTTTGATCTATTTGATAAAGTTTGTTTTGTTTTTCTCTGCAAACAGTTATGATTTGTAACCGGTTACTCGTTAACATGTACATATTGTCCCACCCTTAACTCCTGTACTCATTTTCATAGGTTTTTAGTTAGGATTAATCCGGACTCCACCAAGTGCAGTGCCAAGGAGCAGATGAGCCGGAAGACTGGGAGAGTGGTGAAGCGGAAGACTTCATACATGAACCCCCAATCTCCTTCATCAGGGACTTCACTGAGTTCGATTGGCAAACTGACTAGATGCAGGTGAGGTTCTGACGATAGCTTTTGCATTGAAAGTTCAAGATGGTTTATTCACAGATGTTCTCTCAGATATTTTATTAAATAATGTGTGTTAAGCTACTGTTGTGTCAGTGATTGAATGCTGATGGAGACTATGGCCCACTGATGAAGGCTCTTGAGTCGACTTCAGCAGGAAAAATCAAACACGCTGTAATTCATGATCAATCAAAAACATGATAAAAACACAGTTAATTCAACATCTCTTTAAGCATTTTAACACATTGCTAAACTCAATTACATATTGAATCAAAATGTCGGCTACCTTAAACTGAATGCAGCACTGTCATCTTTGGATATTTGATACACTTTCTATCAGGAATAAGTACCTTGACACGACATCACCATCTTAGACCCTCATCACATACGTGGTGCATTACAAAGTGATTGTAATAAATGTAATTGTTTGTTTTCTTCTTTAATTTCAGGGCTCCAACTGGGATCTGGGTCTCCAAGTTCAGGGCAAGCAAGAGGCCATAGACTTTTATTTCAAGTGTGAGGGGAATGAGAAGATTTTACAGTGTCCTGATGCATTGTTCATGCAAATGTTCAGTATTTTAAAGTAAATGTATAATTGTGAAGCTCGGCTGACGTAACGAGCTTTTTTATTTTTGATTTCTTGTTTCTAATGTTTCAGGCGTGCCTGGGTAGTTGCAGTAGTCAGACAAAGTAGAGGTGTCTCTTTCATTGTTGTGTTGGTTCTGAAGTGGTACTTGGTCTGAAAAGTTTGGTAACCTGTGCTTTATCATGTTCCTGTTCACCAAATGTCTTAAATAAATAATTGTGTTAACAATTTTCTTGTTTTCTGTAGTTAATTGAAATATTTTAGAATATGGGTCATTCTATTAATGTTGGATAATAGTAAATCAAAGTGATACAGTATTTAAATTGTACAGTGAGTAACTGAATTTACAATGATCAACTGTTACCCACTGTTAATAGTACAGTATTGCCATTTACAATACCATCTAAAAAAAAGTGCTTAACTGTTTTTATTTGTACAGTAAATAAACCAGCACTGTAAAAACAACTGAAATCACAGTATTTAATCGGTATTTACTTTACAGTTAAACTCTCAATACTGTAAAATAAACTGAAATCACAGTATTTAATTGGTATTTATTTTACAGTAACTACACCAATACTGTAAATGGAAGTACAGTATGTCTACTGTAAAACATATTTACAGTAACTTGCTGGTTAATTGTTGCCAGTAAGTTACTGTAAATTTGAAGGTAATGTTGTTACAGTGAGGTATTGTCACAAAGATCTGACTTTCTTGCATTGGAAAACACTAGTGTCATAATGAAAACATGACAAAGCCATTAGTGTTGTTACGCTCGTGAACGTTTAGTTCAATATGAACTAATCTTTTATCTTGTACATTATTCTGTGGTTATTAATGGTGTGATCATGTACACTAAATGATCAATTATTCTCCATTACAGGTTGTTCTGATATATTTGAGGAGTGGTTCTCCCTCTGTTCTATATGTGGACTTGTTCTCTCATTTGGGACCACTGTTAGAATTTGGTAAGTTTATCATGTAGTTTTTAATGTTATTCATACTTCATAATTATAATAATTTTAAAAAAGTTTTAAAAGAAACGCACATCCAAAAAGTTTTCAACTCTAGGTGCAGGACAGAGGAAAACATTGTCTTTATTTTTCAGAATTAATAATGTATCCAATAATCTCTCAGGCTGACCACTTGACATGTGAGAGCCTGAGGAGTTGTTCCCCCTCCGTCCATGTTCGAGGACTTGCTCTCTCTCTGCCTCCACTTCACCACTTTTTGGCTACTGAGACGTCTCTGATTGGTTGAGTATGTCATGTGTCTTATAATGTTATATGAATTCATACTTGATTTGTGATGATGACTTAATAATGTTTCCATGTCTCTTTTAGGTTGACCACCCTATATATGAGAGCCTAAGGAGTTGTTTTCCCTCTGTCCCCTTTTGAGGACCTGCTTTGTCTCCTCCATCATTCACTGGGCCACTTTTGGGTTCCTGAGCTTATTTCATGTGGTGAGAGGAATGCAATATGTGTATGTTTAAAGGTTTATGTGAAGAAACATACTATATGTGTGATAAAATGACAATTGGTAATTCATAAATGTCTCTTTATATTCTCTGCTACCATCATCTCCTGTCAAACAGGAGAGAGAGAGAGAGAGAGAGAGCTTCGTCTTGACTTTGTGAGTTTATTATGCAACTTGTTTTGTCTCAGATTGAAACAAAAAGATTAACCAATTAATTATTGAAGATTTTCATATTGATGATTTTAATTTCAAACATCTGCATATCTTTTAAGTTCAGTTAACAGTTATGCAGGTAGGCCTTAGGGCTCTTTTGAGACTTCAGTCATCCTTCATGACAGAAAAAGTTGTTCACTAAGTGTCACTACATCACAAAAGGCTACATGGCTACACATACTTGTCAGTACACAGATACTGAGTACAAGTTCTGTTTGCTGTTTCTTGCAGGTCATGAATTTGGTGAGGAGTGGAGCTGGCTGGCTGCGGACGAGGAAGTAGGGCAATATATACATGTGCACATACACGTATATGAGAATGCATATCTATTCAGACCTGTAATTCATGTCTTAGACTTTTTCACACAGCTATAGATCATTATTTGTTTTTCAATTCTCTATTTATGGTTTCATAATGACTGAGTCACCGTTAAAACAAATGAGTTTCAGCTCTAATGCTGCTACTGTCTGTAATATGTTTCTATTTAGATTATTTGTCAGGATATTTTGTTATTATTGTCCCAGTCTGGTTTTAACTAATGCTGGGCTTACACCAAAAGATTTTCACAGTCACAGACTAAAAACTGAAAGGGTAGCATGAGGGTTCTTCCCGTTAGTCTCGTCCCACCCCTAGTCATGACATAACTTCTGTTGTGATTTGACACTATAATGAATAAAGACTGATTGATTGATTGCTATAGCTGTCAATTTTAGTCCTTGAGTTCATAGTTACGTGCTTTATTTGTTAACTGCTATCAAGGAATATGACTCTCCTTTGTAGTATGCTTGAGAGGAGATGCTGCGAGATTTGTGGACTTCTATGTAGTGTCTGCTGATAATGTAGTGGGCTGGTCTGGACACAAAATGCCAGTGCTGAATTTTTGTCCCAGTCCACCCCTGGTAGCGACACCTCTGTTCAGGAGAAGACTGCAGCTAGTGTCGCGACCACTTTTTTTTTTTCCCATGTCCCTTTAGGGCCTCCGTAGTATAGTTATGCTTCTGTGATAGTGTTTAAAAACCAACCGGAGACAGATAAACATGTGTTGAGCTGTGTTAATTGCACTAGCACATGTTATACAGCTAAGAAAGCTGGTTGTTGAGCTCAAACACACGCAGCTGTGTGAACTTGAGTTTACAGAAGATAATTAATTTCATTTTCTTGGGTAAAAACATTCATTTCATAATTTGTGTACATTAAGCTGTGATGAGTTAAAACCATTTAAAAGTCATATACATAATGAATAATTCATGTTCATTGATTTAAGATAAAAAGAGAGTTAAGATAAATAGATAAAAAGAGATTAATGAGATAAATAAGATTTTATTGAAGAGATGCTACTACTACTGCTCTATGCAGGTTGGTTTTATTGTATGAGTGGATTCTGATGGCGAGCCAGAACCTAGTCCATTGGATCGTGGAGGGTGTGACGTCAGCGAGAGCTTCACTGTGCATTGGAGAGAACATCTCTTCATACAGATAATAAACATAAAGTCACACTACCCGGGTAGATGAACTATTACACAAACACACTGAAGAAGGACAAACTGTGAATATTGACTTCATTCAGACTTTTTCTTTTAAATTTTCTTTCTTGTTGTTTATTATTTTGGGCCCATATTTCATAACTCATGCTGTGAAGAGTTTTGTTGTTCTACTGAGCGTTATTCAGTGTAATTTTCTGAGTTGTTGATAACTTCTGATACAATAAAGGAATTTCAGTCATATCTGAAATATTTTATGTTTTGCACTGTTGCCAATAAAGCTATTTGTTACTACTCTTTTCAAACCGTTGTCCTGTTCCATCAATCCTCCTTGAGCGTATCTATTTCTTCTGATAGGCCTAAAGTGAGAGTACATGACAGTCATTTTATTATATGTACATTAGACAGTGTTACATGCATTCGTGAATTTGATTCATTTTCATTGAGTCTGAATTTTATCTCATTGAGTTATTTTTCATTTACTGTTATTTTGGTTTATTTCCAGTGGAAATTGAGTTTTCTGAACTTTATCCTTCGGTAGATCCCGAACTTCCGTAGATCCTTCGTTTGTGTTGTTTCTGTTTAGTCACCCACCCCACACACACTTTTTACTCTGTTTAACCTATTCTATATAGTTTATACAGATTTGTTATTAAAATTAAATGTCTTCTTGTAACCGTAACGGCCCTTTTAGTATTTTTTATTTTTTTTGTAATATGCACATTGAGTTACATATACACTGTAATGTTTAAACTAATTTATCTATATGTATTTTCAGAAAGATAATGAAATCACACAGTGTTGTTTTGCATTGCTGAGGAAGCAGAGGTGCAGGAAAAAAAGAGCAGAAGGAAATGAATGTGCTATATTGTCTTCTGCAGGAGCAAATAAATGCTGGTTAACAGTTCTGTGCGTCGTCCTCTGTTTATGCCCAATCCACACACCTGTTACACATATAAAATAAACAGTTTCTGAATGACATCCCATTGTAGGAGCGAATTATAAACTCACATATACAGTATGTATGTATAGAAGTTATTGTTTACTTTTACATAGTAATTATCCAAATATTTGAGAGGTCTTATGGCTTTCTTGTTTGTTAATTAAAGTCAAAGAGAAATTATAATTCAACAAAATACAGATGAACATTATGGATATGATATTTGCCAACAAGACACATAAGTTTCATAGCAGCGTTAATGGGTTGTGAGTTAATGTTACAATTTAGAAAGAAGACCGTGTCACCTCCGTGCAGTTCCATAAAGTCACCAGCAGGTGTCAGCCTATGAGCAGTGTATGGGAGGAGCCAGATTATTTTGGCTCCTTCTTCTAAATGTTTCAAAGTTGAAAGTTCATTCAGCTTTTGTCATATTTTTTATATTGTGTACACAATTGCAGTTCAAAACTCAAGAAACTTTCATCCCCTTGCTCTCTTGAACATAAAAACATAGGAACAATGTGTGCCGGTATCAGAGTTAAAATGCACTTTATTAAATCTTACTTTTAACATGTATTTGTGAATTTTATTCATTTTCATTGAGTCTGAATTTTATCTCATTGAGTTGAGTGTTCAAATCAATTGCCCCCACAGAAACAAATAAAGGACTTATACAGGCACTCACTGAGTTGGGCATCAGAAATGTTTGATATCTGTATATGTTCATTGTACAGAGGTCATATATGATGAGAACTGCCTTTCTGTATGTGTGATATCTTTTAAACTGGAGAGTGTCAGAGGTTAGAAGAGATCATAGAGAGTGGGATCAACACGTGAGTCAAAAGCAAGCTGGAGGCCTTCTCCTCTGGGGTTGAAAACAGAGATTTACCCCACGACACGGCAGGTTTAAAGCTCCCTGTGGTGGAGGGTCGGGCCTCTGACCCCAGTATGGGGACTGACCCTCAACCAGTAACCAGAGGCCTCAGGGACCAGTCCGTCCTCCTGTAGACTTGGATTAGAGGAACACAGGATTGAGTCAGGCCACCCTGGGGGGAGTAAGGAACTACAGGTGTTACACTATATTATATTCTATCATTAGATTATTATTACTGCTGTATTTGGCTGTTGTAGCTGCTCAGGTGGAGCTGATTTCAACTATTTAGGAAGGACTGTGACTAATTATTATTGTCATTAATCTAAATTGTACAACTTGAGAATATATTGAGAAATGCCTGTTACAATCATCCAGAGCCCACAGTGACACAATGTTGTCTGACCAACAGTTCAAAGCTGAAAATAGTAAAAGTAGTAATACTACACTACAGAAATACTGCATTACAACTTAAAGTGCTGCATTAAAAAGGTTCCTCAGTTACAGAAGTATTATCAGCACAATGTAGTTGAAGCTCCCAGTCTCTCTCTGCAGACACTCACTCAGTCTTATCTCTCTTCCCTCCCCCACACCTGCCGTTGCCCTGACAACCGTGACGTCACAGCCACTCCCTGTCCACAGGTTACTTTCACTTTGTGAGCTCGTCGTGTCGCAGCTTCTTCTTCTGTCCATGTGAAGGTTAGTAAGAGACACTTTTCACTGTTTGACTCCTCAATGACTCTTTGTTCATCTTGTTAGTTTAGTTCAGTAGAAAGAGCAGAAAACTCTACTAACAGTCAACTGAGAACCAACATGGAGGAAGAGTTTCCTCCATCTTACTGTCAGTGTGTCACTGTTCAAAGTAATCAGAGTACTCACTGACAGTACTCAGAGTACTCACTGTATGATTTCTGTCTGTCTTTATGAGCTCACCTTATCAATGTAGTTGAAGTATGTAAAGTGAAAGTAGTCAGTGTACAGAATGGCCTCTGTCAGTGTTGTATTATTATATTAGTGGATGATTATTATTGATGCATTAACATGTAATCAGTACTTTAATGTTGGAGTTGCTGCAGGTGGAGCCAATATGAACTACTTCAAATACTTTTGGCTGCTTGAATGTAAAATAATGAATTCTATTTTATAAACTGATCCCATGTTTGAAAAGTAAACAGGAAGTAAAGCTGCCAGATAAATGCAGCTCCATGAGGCCATCTAGTGGACTGATAGTAGAAGTAGAGCAGCTGATGGCAGCTTTCTGCTCTCATTCTTCCTCAACACTGACCAATGAGAACAAGCAGCATCTCCTCTGGCCAATAACAAACCACTATTGATCCATGTATTGATTAGTTTGCAATGTGTGACAGTGATGAGAAAAGGCCATCAGTAGTTCCCAGAGTTCACAGTCATGTTTTCTAACTGCTTCTTTAGTCTGAGCAACAGTCCAACAAGACAAAGGGATTCAACTGACACTGAGATGAAACAGAGAGAAGCAGCCAATCAGTGGAGAAGCAGCTGATAGTTTTACAGCAGAAATTATGTAAATCAGTGGTTCCCAACCTGAGGGTCGGGACCCCCACTAGTGGTCACCAAAGCTTCATGGGGGGTCTGTAGGTCGGCCTATATCTCAGCATCTGGTTCACTTCTGTGAAGAAAAGTCAATGTAAAGTAAACTGTCTAATAGATGAATGACCAAACATCAGGGACAAGAAAACAGTGAATTTGTCCAAAAAGAAGCATATTAAGTATTTATGATTGTTAAAATGATAAAAGATACATAACACAGACAAACTGTATAAAAAGTTTCCTAAACAGGAAATAATCTGCTCAGAATTCATCAGAATCAACTTCAACTTCTTGCAGTTACTGAGTTCAATATTTGGGTTGATTGTACAGTTTTGGATATAATATGAAATATGTATAAAATATGTCACTCAGTCAGGGGTCATCAGTTTACTCAGTGATAGAAAAAGGTTGGGAACCACTGATGTAAAGGATGAATGAGTGATGATGAGTTCTCAGTGCTGATCAGTGATTGGACTGATGCTTTCAGCTCTGCTCTCAGTGTTTCCTCTACAGATGAAGGTAGAAAGTCTCTGGGAGCTGATGTGGATGTGAATTCAGCAGCAGCTGCCAAGGTAACAGGATTGATTTTGGATTATTGGACTAGCTGCCACTGCATGCTCTGACTGGATATAGTAGACTTG